TTATCTATTTGACCTTAACTCCTGTTATCTAGTTACTTCACTTACTTTCCTTTACTCCTGCCACCTCTTTACTCCATGTTACCTTTTCACTTTCAATTGCTCTGGCTCCTCTGGCTGATCCACTGCAGAGTGTGACAGATGTGCGGAGCTCCCCAACAGCTTCAGCTGTAAAAACAACCACAAAGAAATCACTGAGCTTCTCTGCTACATCTTCATCATCCCCGTTTGCCCCTTTTATACCCTTGTCATCAGCATTCCCACCAATTTCCTAGCTGCCTTTGTGGCTTTGATATATTTAAAGAGCCTTTTATCAGCAGTTAGAGCATCCTTTGCAAGGCAATTTATAGATTCTTACTTTTAGCCCTATTTATTTCCTGTTTAATTGTCACCTAACATGTTTTATGGGTTTCCCTGTTCTTGGACCTCTTTGGCTTTTAGGGTTGGGTTTGGGGATTTTTTTTGACTAGTTGCTGCAAAATTCAGTATCTTCAGCTCACACCCCAAAACCTAGGAGAAGTCAATTTAATCCTCCTGCAAACCCTTAATAAGCAAAGCTGCTCTGTCTGCAAACACCAGACACAAGGCTTTGAAAGAGGAAGCATTACTGGGCTAAAAAAAAAAAAAAAAAAAAAAAAAAAAAAGGGGAAGGGGGGGAAACTGCGAAAAAATAGCAGTTGCCAAACTTGACAAATGACAGTCGTCCTCTCACAGCAGTGCTAGGCTTGCCTCGCTTGCCTTTCTGTGGTTTGTAGCCCTGGGCTAATGAACCCCAAATTTCAAGGAAGGTCCAGTCACCCTCCTGAGGCTGGGATGAAGCCAAGGTGGTCTCCCCAAAACCAGCTCAGGACAGTGATGTTCACCAGGCCAGCTGCCTGAATCCCTTCAGCCCTCACCTGAGGTTCCCTGCAAGCTCTCCATACGGGGGGTTTCTGTTGGGGAAGCCATTCCTAGCGAGGAGGGGAGCACTTCTTGCTGGAGGAGAGGCTCCTTTTCCCTTACACCGTTGGACGGAATGCTGTCATTCACCTTGAAAACAAGAAGCCATCGAAGTCAAAGGAAGTACACCAGAAGTGAAAAGTCAAGCCCCTGGGTCTGCAATGGTGTTTTACCTTCATTGCTCGCTCTTACTTGTTTATGCCTCCAGCCTGGCACATCACATGCAGGATCTATGTCAAAACAGTCTCCTAAAGGAAACAAGGAGTGGTTTTCACCAGCTGGTAACCAGAAAAATGCAAAATGTTTCCTGCCTTCAGGCCTGAAAATGCTGCCTTTCATGTGCAGGTTTAGATGCTGGGCTTTGCTGGGGAGTGTTCGGATGCAGGGTTTTGTGTCTCATTTTCGAGGCTGGTTTCAGGCATAAACAGTGCGAACAGCACAAGACCCATCAGGCCTGACCAAGCCCATCCTTACTCCTCCGTCCCATCATGTTACTGTGTGACAGCTCCTCTAAGGCAGCTGCCCAGACCCAGTCTCTTACACCACAGCCATCCACTGCACCATACCCCTCCCCTACCACGCCGCATCGCTTGAATATGCTCAGCTGTATCCAGGTAAATGAAGAACAGCATGTGATGTGAGCGATCCCAATATCCCCATACATGTGTGTGTGAGAACCATGCAAACCTCTGCCCCTGACTCATTTAGCATTTTTTAGTACACCCTGTGCAGATGTCCCAAGCAATCTCTCTGGTGTAATTTTTGGTCAGGACAAAAGTAGGCGGCAGACTGGAGTGGCACCGTCTTCCCACATCCTCTGCGGGTTACGTGCCAGCAGGACACCCTGTATTTCCGGGGAGCAGATCGACGGGAGATCTGGGAATGCGAAACGAGTTATGGCAGTTCCCTGCAGCCTCTCACCCTGCCTGCAGGCAGGTCCTCTCTCCCACCGACAGGTGACAGTCGCACTCAGTTCCCTTTCCCATGCCCAGTTGGATTTTGAAGGATGGCAGCTGAAACAATGCATAAGCCAAGTGGCAACAGCCATAAAACACCACAAAGAGCTATTTTCCATCATCATATTTCCCAACAGAATCACGCATTGCTAATAGCCCAACAGAAGTGAAATATCTGAGACTTTGCCCTTTCAGTACAGAATTCCAGTCCAGATAAAATAGCTGGAGCAGCCTTTGAAATGCTAAAGAGCAACAGACTTACAGTACTATCTGATAGCCCCTCCCCAGCACAGGCTAAATGAGAACTGGTTGCAGCTGCAGAAATTAGCTTTGAACTAGAGCAATGAAAATTCCTCTGCAGTTAAATGACGCAAACACCTGACTATTTTTGCTGCTTTTATTATCAATGACAGCACATGCCTAGATATCACTCCCTCAATAAAGTTTTACTGCATTATAGTTTTGTTTATCGTTCAGCTTTCAGCTGTGTTTCCAACCCCTATTGCTTTGTGAAAGAATAAGAGATAACACTTAAAAGCCTTTTCATGTGCCTCTGTAGCAGGTTACTGTTACATGTATTTTAAGGATCCTCTGCACTAAGCTGATGGAACCAGACAATCCACCTCAATGAAAGATCGCAATGCAGGGGCTGTTACTATCGATACAGAGAAATCTTTTTATTAGACTCCACGTAACCCCAAGTTTCAGTCTGCCATACAAAGAAGGAGAGGAGGGAGTATCCAAGAAAAAAGCAGCCAGCAGAATGAAGTAGAAGTCTACACTGAGCTTCATGACCTTTTGTCATTTCTTCTGACTGTATCCCACTCATTTTTCAGTGTCTCAAGCTGTGCAAACTCCCTGGACTGTTCTGCTGGCAGCAGAACCTTTTCTTGCTGGTGAAAAATCAGGAAAAAGGGGAAGAGGAAAGGACTTAGCAGAGGGATTAGAAGCAGGGAGCATCTCCTTCATGCAGGGAGTGGGGGGGACGACACAGGGCTCAAAGAGAAAGCAGGGGGCAGCAGGCATGGGGGGACATATATTAATGAAACTGTTGGGAGAGGGAGCTGGTCCCCCTTGTAGGGCTTTTCTAGCTGGAGGAAGGACGGGGCCTCTCTGCCTCTTGTGCTAAGGGTAGCCACCATGCCTTGTTTTCCTCCTCATGGGTGAGTACTCTCAGAGGGAAAGTCAAGAAAGTAAGACCAAATCTCTACCATCCTTTCAATAACGTATCACAAATAGCTAAATCTGGCTAGCCCTGCTTGCATGGAGTAAAGGTTGCCTTGTGCATGTTGAGATGCGCACAGCCAGCGGAGGGTGGCTAAGGCCACCAGGATCTGGGCTCCTACAGACACCTGCCAACACAGGTGCTCTGCAACCAGGTGACTGCAGCAACGGGGACAGGGGTCAATTGGTAGAAAGAAACAGTGAAAACCCAGGAAAACAACAGAGAGAAAATGGCACCTTTTCTCACCAGGCTACTTCTGAACTAGTGTTCCTTGCAGGCAGTTCAGAGAAAGCAGGGTCTGTCCTCTTTGCTAGAGAAGCCACAGGAGAAAGATCAGGACTGTTTCGTTCCCAATTTTCAACCACATAACTTGCAAGTGGGAGCTGATTTTGATCATCGAGAGCACTGGAACAACCCGTCTGCATGCACATCCCGGTAACCTCTACAGCCACATACAGTGCTTTCTACCACTGGCCCCCAAACTTGTCATTTAATCTGAAACACACTTCTTTTTTTAGCTGTGTGACATCATTAGCAGATCCATACGCACAAAGTTGCCATCAGAGAGAGCAGCCCATCCAATATTTTCAAAGGAGACCCAGCTGCACTAACTACCCCGTTCCCACTGAAAGCAATCACAGAAAATTGGTGCCAACCTTACAACAATAAACATTTTAGCTTCATTAATATTTAATAAGATTTCTGATCAGAACCTCTGAGTGAAAGCTGGTTGCTTATTCAGTCTGTACACACTTGCATCTAAACTCTGCACAAGTTTTAACATAAAATAGTCCCTGTAATTGTAAAAAACCCCTGCTTACACCACTAGACAGCAACAAAAGAAAGCCTTAGTACTGAGGAACAATAATGTTTAATAGGAAAAGTAAATCTGCATATATAAAAACTAAACACAAAATATAACATGAACTTAAATGATGCTTTAAATGAACTTACCCTATAAATATATGTACATATTTGAGCATATATATATATATTTTATATATATAAGGAAATGTTAATGCTAATCAATAGATAATGCACACTCAGTAAAGTATGGTAAAATGTGGATTCTTTTACAGACAGATTTATTGAGTGTATGTAAGAAATGAAAACAAACAAACAAAGATCATTCAATCAAAACATAAAGAGTGCAAGAAAAAAAAAAGAGCTAACACTTTCCACAGGAGCTGAGAATGTAAAATCAATGTAGTTGTGCAAGATGGAGAACATTAGTGTTTGTTTTAAGATATTGTTTCTTGTCATTTTATTGGGAAGGAAGCCTGTATAAAAGGTCAGACAAGTACCATTGTGTCACACAACACATGTCAGCAGAGATCTGAACTGAATGTTTTCAGACAGGAAATATTGGGGGGTTGAGGAGGGGAAAAAACTGTACCTGATACAGTAAAGATAAACAGGTTAGGTTCTCATGAAGAAGAGTTTTGGTCTGCCCAAAGCCATGCAGGCTGTCCGTAGCTGAAATGAACACAAATACAGGCAAAGCTCTGGGTGCTGACATTTTTCAACGTCATACATATTGCCTGGATCGTTTTCCAGAAGAACTGAAAAAAAACAGGGTTAAAATCATGGTATCTCACTCTCTTGCCAATGTATGGCCTCCTGAAAGAAGCTGAAGGTTTATTGGAGCCCGGTAGTTCTTTTAAAAGTCCTCTTCTTCTCCCTACCCTCTGCTTCATTTTTCCCTTATTTCAGAGAGTTGTCCATGATCTCTTTCAAGCAAGGGTCTTCCTTTAGAAAATCTTCAGAGAATCTGGGATTACGGACATTGTCATCTCTTCTGCTGAAGTAACTGCATTGGTGAGAGGCTGTGAAAGTCTTTGGTCTGACCCATTGTTGCGGTGGTCATCCATCCTTCTGGTCACTTAGTATCTCCTCTGCATCCTAAAGCCCTCAGGCTCCCGTGATATTTCGTACTACAGAGAAGTTGGACAAGGAAAGACAAGAAAAGAGAAGAAAAGAAATCAAGAGTAGCTCTGGCTCAGAAAGCTTTCTCAGAATAGTTCAGCGTGTAGCACACCACACATGATAGCCCTCTCCCTGTGACACACCAGCCCTCAAGGAAAACCCAACAGGCAGACGTTCATCAGTGAAAAGTTAACATCTTTGGAAAGTTAGAAATGCCAAAATCCATGTGAATCTGATCAATCAACTAACTAAATACATGTTTTTCTTCTCTTAATTGGCAGCTTTTTAAAAGTGGGGGTGGGGTGGGTGTGGGTGTTTAAACATCAGGTTTCTGTGTTGCTTCTATCCTGGTTTAGGCCTCAGTTCTGCAAAACATGTAAATGTATTACAGTTAAACAGGTTTTCTTCACTAAACAGAGGTAGTTTCTTGCACATAGAGGAGGAGATAAAATATCATTTAAATGAGATTTTAATAGACAATGTGCTTCCTATTTACTCGATGCATGCAGAACCCAGCAAATCAATCACATCACAGTGTAGTACTTCTCAAGCCCCTGCTCCCTCCGCAGCTCCCTTGCAGAGTTCCAGGATAAAACAGGCAGGTTTTTTCAGAGCACACCTTCCAGCTAATAAC